CCCCTCTCGCGCCTCGCGCGCTCGGCCGGGACGCGGGGGCCGGCGTCTGCCTGCGCCCCGGCACCTCTCACCGAAGGCGGGGCGCTGCTCGGGACCTCGATCGTTCCCGGCGCGGAGCAGCCGCCCCGGTTACCTGGGAGACGGGAAAGCGTGGGAGAGCGGCCTTGGCCCGCGGGCTGAGACGGTGCCAGCCGAGGGGGCGAGTCCGACGGGCGCTGCGAAGCGCTCGCCCCTTCCTCCGCGGTGCGGGCCGGCCGCTGCATCCCGCCCTGGCCCAGCAGCCGCTCCCACCCCGGCCCCGCGAGCGGACACGCGAAGCCGCCTCCGCGCCAGACCCAGCCGCGCCTGTGCTCTCCCCCGCAAGCCCCGCGACCCGACGCTCGCCCACTCCAGATGCCCCTGGGGCCCCCAAGCCCAGGACAGAACTTGAGGCGCGGAAGAGACAAAAGGAGTTAAGGAAACGCTTTGATTACCTGCCCGCCACCTATCTCTGTAAACAATTCACTTCGGAGCCCCTTCTAAAAAGTGGGGCCGGGCCGGGAGACCGCTCAGCGGCACAGCGCCCGCCTGGCGAGCACCAAGTCCTGAGTTCGATTCCAGTAACCAAAATAAATAAATTTAAACCGGGGCTAAGCCGGCTGCCCTCTCTTTATCGCAGGGCTTTCAGGATGAGAGCGTGAAATGCCGGTTATAATGTTCGTGCGTGGCAAGTGAGGGCTGAAGGTGGAGCTGGGGGGAACGCGCGCCTAGCGCGGGGAAGGCCCTGGGCTGCACCCCTGCACCCCAGGAGGAGAACGGGAAGTGGGAGTGACAGGGTGACAGTGTGTCCTGCCGCAGACTGGAGCCCGCAGGCGCAGCCTGTCACTTGCCGCTTGGCCTGACTTTTCCTCCCAGGTGGCCGAGGCTGTCCGCTCTGAGAACTCCCTCTCCAGGCCGAGTCAGGCGAGTGCCAGTGCCTGTTAGAGCGATGCGTTTGTGCGCCATACAGGGGGAGCAAGAGCAGCTGGCTGCGATGCGGAGATGGGCTCCTCATAGAATGAGAAGTTTGTATTTTAGAGTGGAAGTCTCTGCCCTTCATTTTATTTTGAAGTGAAAAAAGTCTGGAAACCAAGGAAAGAAGCCGGAGAAATTTGCTGGGCACGTGGCAGTCACACGGCGCCTCCAGCCGAGAGGCGGGCTGTGTTGTGGTCTGGCCTCCGGCTCTCCGCTGCAGCTCTGCGGGGCAGGGCCCCCATCAAGAGCCCCCGCCAAGTCTGCCTCTAGCACTGTAGAATGTGTTGGGGCCTTAAAATGATTTTAGCCCTTTACTTATATGCGGGAAACACAAGCTAGTGGTGAGTGGGTAGGAAATGCTCCGTTACTGAGTTTTCAAATTTGTATCATGTTCACCCTGGAAGGAATGTTGAAGATGACTGAACTCGGCGCTGTGCTTTCATTATGAGAGCAACTATTTCTATGGCGCTTACTGTGCGCTGAGCATTCTTCTAAGCCCTGGCCTTGGAAGAACCCATTTAATCCTCCCAGCAACTTTCGGTTCCATCATTATCCCCCCACCCCCGCGCCGTGCGCGTGGGAGGAATAACGCTCAGGAAGTGTCAGTAATCCCCCAGAAGGGGAGGCAGTGATGGACCCGCGTGATGATCCCTCGCAGTCGGTCTATTTGGAAGCCCGTCCCTCGAAATGTGAGATGACTTGCAAATCACACCTTGGCTGGGAATGGAAGTGTCACAGCACTCATGGCCTCTGGCCCCGGCCCAGTGCCCCTCTGATTCTGCCTTACTGTGATTACCACGGTACACACATCAGGCACAGACGGTGCTGGTCCGGCCGTCTCCTCGGAAGCTGACTCTCCTCTGCTGGCTGTGGGGAGCACACTGATGGACAGGAGCAGCCTTGGGCTTCTGGCTCCCAGGACCCGCAAAATGTGAGAACTCCTACCACCGACTGTAAGGGTGGGGAATCCTCATAGCCCCGGGTGACGGTGCGGGCCTTTTGCCAGCCCCTTGCTGACTGAGGATTACCGGCTGCACGTGTATTTCAGCCTAAGTATCTGTCTCTAAAATGCACCAAGGCTGTTCAGGGAGGTTTCCAAGGCAGGGGTGTGCGGCTGGAACCCCAGCTTCAGGAGACTGAGGCAAAAGAATTCAGCCTGAGCAAATTAGCAGTTTAGTAAGAACCTGTCTCAACTAAAAAGTAAAATAGGACTGGAGATGTCGCTCAGTGGGCAGGCTCTGGGTT